CATTGCCTTCCATCAGATCTTTTTTCATCATCGAAATAAAACTATTTAACAACATGGTAGTGTTTGTAATTCAAATAGTAATAAATAAAAATTAAATAGAAAAGTACCTCTCTATTTTGAAAAAGGATCATTAAGAAGTTGCGTTGAGGTTGAGGATGGGGTGACTCGAGCTCATGCATTGAAATCACACGAAGTTTCAGTGGACATTTCTTGCTTCTTCGAATATCGTTAATGATACCGAAAGGGATTTCATTGGCGATTGATGTTGTTTTTGATATTTGGAATTTTGTATTTTATAGATGCGTGTTTTTTCTGTTTAGTATGTAGGATATTTATAGGATGTATATTGGAATTTATGATGGATGATATATCATTAAAAAAAAGGAGTTTTTAAAATTTGAAAAAAATATATCTTTGTAAATTCGAACTCCCTTCAATTAAGGGAGTTTTTGTTTCTTTGAATTATGGGATAGTAATGTGATAGGAATCAATTAAGAGTATTTAGTGGGATTCTATAATATCTCACCTTAATTAAAGATTTTTAAATCTCTGAATTTTGAACAAAAAATCCGATTAGAGAATTGAAAATTAAGCAAAAATATTACCAAAAAAATCGGCTCCATTCAGCGTATTTAATGGGACTAAAAAATAGCTCATATTTAATGGGATTCAAAAATAGCTCACCTTAATTATTACACATTAATTACAGCTGGACGTGAGAAAAAAAAAAAAAATACAACATAATTACTATTAATAGTATGCATTAAATGAAGAAAGAGAATTTGACCAGATTTCAGTTGCTATTTTTAATAAATGTTAATTCTGTTTATATATATATAGATTGAAGATAAAAATATTTTGATACAAATAAAATTGCAACATTTTTGTATTTTATGGAAGCCACATAAATAAAAGTATGATCAATTTTAGTATAATGTATCAATTTTATTTTTCTAAATAATTTATAACAAGTTAACCAAGGTAAAAATTAGACGGTCTTATACAAAAATTTATAATATTAATTATATATTACTTTATTATCCCAATCAAGTTTTAGTCATTAATTACGAGAATATACAAAAGATATATAAGACACAATAGAGAGTCCCAATTTTCTGCACACGCAAGTCTCGTAAGAGAAAAATTTGATACAATTAATTATTAATTATAATATACTAATGTTTTTTTGACAAGATTGTCTCTAATATGACATTCTACTTAACCTGCATGTCTTGATTCTCAACTTGAGGTAATTAAAAACTAAAATGGGACCCAATAAAAAAAAAAATATTGGATTCATTCTTTTAACAAACCAGATTAGGGACACTTGGTGTGAAAATACATAAACAAAAGTATGAGTATATTTAATAATAGAGGGAAATGTTACGGTCTCTTTATGAAATCATTCCGTCAACCCTTAGATTAACTATCCCCGACAGTTACGTGATATTCTAAGTTTCTAACGGTTACAAACCCCTACGAAATGGTTTCGTAACGGGACTGTAACATGTTCTCATAATATAATATATTCATTCTTGTTAAAAATATATGACGAGTTGACCCGCTTAACGATGGTACTGTTTTATACAACAATTTGTGATAAATTGAATTGTGACTAGGAAATCAATTATTTTTTTTTTTAAGAATAAAAATCCAAATCACAAGGATTAAATTAATTTTGTATGAGGTGACACTGGTTGATTTTCAATGGTTGTTTATTGAAATAATTGTAGACCCTACAAAACAAAATAATAAGGACTTACTTATTTTTTTTGTCAAATGAATTGACGGTTTAGTTATTATACAAGTTATCTTAAAATAAAAATATAATAATGATGGACGGGACATTGAAGGAAAAGTACAATACCTAATTAGGCCAAGTTTATCAAATTGGTACAACTTTTTAATATTAATCTCCAGTAACATTGAAATGTTATAATTAGCTATGAAGAGAACTGTCGGTATACACTTTATAATATATTCTGTTGAAAAATATTTAATAAAGAGTTATATGCCCTTATGTTATATGATTATACTATTAACACATACTTATATTGTAAAATATTAATTTTTTTGTTATTATTTTTTTTTGATTTATTTTGCTTCTTAAAGTTTGATATTTGAATAAGAAAATTTATTAATTTGTTGAAAATATGTATGAATACCTAATTAGTATCAATACAACCTAATAGCATCATGTCATCATTATTGTTATTTTTTTAAATAAATACTTGGAAATGCTTTTGCTTGTATTGCACTAAGAAGGCCTGCGCCGCTAGGATGGGCTAATTTTTCTTGGGCTTTTACTAGGCCCAACTTAGTCTTAATCGTTTTTTATGTAATAAAAAGTTGGAAGTAACGTGCAGGATGCAAATTCCTCTTTTTTTTTTATTATTTTTTTATGGGATAGGTGAGTTGGGCTATCAAAGAGTGGCTGTACCAAAGTAAATGGCCTCAAAAGCATAAAACATCCATTGGGCCATTACTATCATAAAGCCCATTGCTGCGAAGTTGAAAGAAAGGCAGGTAATAATGAGCCAGAGCCCAACTCCGTGGTCATATGATTATGGTGAATATTATGTGAAAATTTATTCAGGCCACGCATGCAAATCCAAATCATTTTCAATTTTAGTTAATAACTGAACATAATTATTGCACTTCTACATGAAATGGTACAGTTTCGTTAAGAACCATTCTCTTGATATTTGTAACCGTTTGATCATCATATAATCGTCATTAATAGTTGATCTAACGATTACAAACTACGACGGAATAATTTCGTAACGGGACGGTAGAAAAGACAATAATTGGACGTTGTTATCTACTAAGTCATGTGAGCAAGTTCACATAAGGTTTGCTAGGCACGAGTGATAATCTTGTATCATTATTTCACACATTAAAATATTAGAATTAACTTTAGTCAAACTAATATTTCATGACAAATACATGTCACCGAATAAAGCAATCCCGCAAAATAGTGCAATTAACAATCATTTCATTTACATGCGTGCAAAATTTTGACTTTTAATTTTTTAATTAACTGAACCCCCATAAATTAAATTACCTTCTTACATTTAAATATTTATTTGTAGTTTGTCACATTATACGTTGTTGATGAAATTCAAGAATGTCAAAGATCTTCATATCCAAGCCCACAATGTAGAGTTTGACATTAATAAATATAATATTCCTAATACATTAATTAATTTGAGTTCAATGAGATCAATGTATA